ACGAATATAAATTCTAAATGCTAGAAAAGGGAGAAGAGGGGCTGCAGCAGGATATGGTAGTATAAATTGTAACATTAAAATGAGCAAAATTATGCAGAAAAATACATGCAAACTGTAAGTGGCTATTGGAAAATGATAGATGCTGCAAATTTAGAAACTGAAAGAGCGGGATCTCACACAATCAGACCTCTCCTTTGGAGGCTAGAAAAATAATTCTTTAATGCTACATAGAACCACTTAAAACATAAGAATGTTTCAATATTGTATGTTTTTATAGAGAAAAGGCGAGAAGCCAGCTTGTCACCTACACCAGAAAAAGGCAGTCATCATTTTTGACATTATTAGAAAGGAAAACAATAACACACACTAGAATATGCGTCTCTTTTTGGTCTACCTGTGTTTTTCAGATTCCTCCTATGATTCCTGGTAACAAATGGGCGATATGTTGTATTTATATACATGTATTTGGTTTGGGTCTGACAATCTTGATCAGAAGGATGGGCAACCAACCAGACATGCTTGTTTCTTTCGTCAGTGTGGATGCACTGAGCTGGAAAGTGGACGTAGCTGGTGTGTCACATCCTGCCCACAGAAACAGGCACATTTCTAGAAATATCAACACGTACAATTCTTTAGTTACAGTGCTTTAGATTTACAATGCGCCACAATCACTCTGAACGTCGGTAAGCGAAGAAATAAAATTACATGACAGCATACGTTTCTAGTATTCTAGGCTGTTGTTGATTGAAAGGATAACTTGCGCGGTGAATCTGATTTAAGTGAGGACGAGTTGTGCAGTTCATCGACCTCACTCTCTTGCCCATGTCCATCTGAGTGCAGTGGCAAGACGAATCAAGAAGTCTGGAGATAAACTTGGGTACAGTGGATAACTAGGGCTTCTTAGGTACCTTCCAGTGCTCAAGGCTCTCCACAGAGCTTGCTAGTAGTCTTAATTTTTTTTTTCCGTTGAACCAAGGGGATTTCATCGGCACAGTCCACCGGATCCAGACTTTGCATGCTGGGTAGGAATTCCTTAAATCACCGATCAGTTTTGGCTGATCGGTTACTCTCTCCTGGTTTAGCCAGCCTGCCAAGGCTGTTGCCCAGGGGGTGGCCACTGTCGCACGCTGACAGCTACTTTGAGCTACAGGAGAGCTGGATATCACCGTTGGTCCAGTGGTTGGTGAACTACCCTGAACATGGCATTCTTGGCTACGACATAGTACAAAAGATATCCAGTTTTTGTTTCCCTATTCCACTCCAGTAAATTCCATTTAAAAATGACTCTTAATGTTTACAAAAAAAAATAAAAATAATAAAAATCAGCCATCCATCATCCCGGATTTGCTTTCTGTAGGTTAATATTGCGATTTACATCTCAAAGATGATAATCAAACAGCTACAAACCGCGCCCCAACTGTATAGCCATATAGCAGTTATACTGGGGCACGTTGAAACGGTTTCGAAGTCATCTGTAGTCCAGTGTGGGTGGGCTGTGGGTATCCGGGTACTTATATTGTGAGGCTGTGACAGAGCCAAGGGTTTATTGATTGGGAACACTTCTTCCTGGATGTGCGGTTCCAGTACTGATTTCGGGGCCTTAGGAGGGGATTGGGGCGTTCTATAACAAAGTTTTCCCGGGTTGGGTTTTTCTGTATATTTGTTAGGGAGGAAAGTATTTTCACCCTCCTAACTCCGACACATTCACTCTAGTTTAAGGACTTTAGTCTTACAGAAAATTCAAAACCACCAACCACCTGACTTACTTACACCCACCCACCAATCAACCATCTGACTTACTAACACCCACCCACCAATCAACCAAACTAATCGCAGCAGCAAGTGTAAGTAAGGCTAAATTATAATACTAAGCCGGACTTTTTTTCTTTCTTTCTGAAAATGAAAATATACCGGTATTTAAAGTGTCTAACAAAAAGGTGCCGGTACTCATCACACGGTGTTTATTACAATAGCCTTGAGCAGTTTATTAAAAACAGGTGCCTTTGTTGTTGCTTGCGTTCATCAGCTTCAAACCCCGGCGGAAAGTCTTGGTTGTTTGTCCCTTTCTAGACTCTGCCTTTGTTCAAGGACTTTAGTTTTGCACGTGCACCCGTTCAGATTGTTGATTTCTTGCCTCTCTGTCAGATGCACTGCAATTTTGAAGGAATCCCCTGATTTGTCAACACCTACAATATGCTTTTTTATAGACCGTCTGTCTATCGCCCCCCCCCCCCTCTCACCCACATTCATAATTGGGCCCCGGAACACGCACGGTCTGTGTGTGTGGGGTTGAGAGGGGGGGGGGGTGATAGACCTTTAAAACGCCTTTGAAAATACACAGAGAGCTGTTCAGTTGCAATTGATTGTGAAACTGATCTAAACACCCCTCAGCTTCAGCTATCGCTGTCATACAACACTTCCCTATGTGAGGAGAACGAAGAAAGTGAGGATCTTATACCCGATTGATACTGTCGTCAGAAAACTCGTACCGGATGTTTGAAAATAACCGACTGTCGCCATGACAACTCATTGACTGACGGAGGCGATACACGCTAGATAACTGACATAGGAGGATTTCAGGACATTCACCTACAAATTAAAAGGATGTAATAATACCAATCACGCCGCCACATCGAAAACTGTAGGCGTGTAGGAAAAAGGGGGTGGGCGGGGCGATTTTCTAAAAAGTAGGGGTGGGAGGCCTAAGCAACCTTATAATTTTCTATAGAGCGAGTTGGTCGGGTGTGTGTGGGGAAGGGGGGGGGGGGGGGGGGGGGGGGGGTCAGTGGATTTAAGCTTTGTTTAATTGCTCAGTTACAATTATTAGTATTATTATCGTTGTATGCTGAATGGCAAATAAGTATAATAATATACTTGAAAGAGGTTTAACAGATTTAAAAAAAAAAAAAAAACCACACACACACAATTTAATGGAGATTGACTCCTGACAATACAACATGTAGCAAATGTGTTAGAGGGTGACAATAATATAAGTGAAAAGTTTGTTTCATGTATAGGACTTTGCCAACCAGCCCCAGTATTTACTGGCTGTTGTGTAATTTTTTTTTTCATTAGCGCAGGCAGTGGGATTTGGATAATGAAAAAATGGGGAGGGGGAGGGGGTCTATGCAGTCAGGGAGCCTTTTATATAGCCTTTTTTTTTTGTACACCTGTTAGTGAAATTCCACCGAATTTTCATATCCCGTCATACCATTTCATTCTCAAATGTCACCTTTACGCCCAGTACTAGCTGTAATAAGTTTCCAGCATGATCAGTACCGCATGTGATAATGTACCAATAGACATCCACAAAACTGTAAAGGCGTTGGTTAACCTGCACGCCGCTCCTTCAGCATTTTCTTTGAGAAGGAATCGCATCTGTATACAAGCACAACACCGTTTTGCCTTATTTTGCTGTCATTCAGTAGTTTTTTAAATTCCCTTATTTTTTTTTATATACCAAATGTTTTTAAATACCGTACACTCCTTTGCGTTTCTGTTTTCCTAGTCAAAATGGCACCAGTACTCAAGTTTGTCAAAAACATGCCAGTACTCGCCACAAAATACCGGTTACCATAGCAATGAAACGGTGAAGCCTAAAAGGGTGTTGAGTACCACCAGGGGGAAAAACCTGCTTCGTTGTGTGTGTGTGTGTGTGTGTGTGTGTGTGTGTGTGTGTTTGTGTGTGCCATATTTCCCCAAAATACAACAAGGAAGATTCAGCTGAATCCATTATCACTCTGCATTTTAATGGGCAAGTGCTAGAAGTGGGGAAATATTTCCCACTGAATGTTATTTTAAGCACTAATGGCCGCTCTTCATTACTTCCTTAAAAGCTTATGACCCGTTATTAATTCTTCTGGATAAGAACATTAAAGGGGAATTTTTTTAATCATCTTCCCGGAAAGACATTTGAAAAAGCCAACAGTTGTTAGTTCATTATCATCATGTGTGTTGCGCTACCCCTTCTGCCTATTGCTGTTATGGATCTTGTTTGTTGACTATGTTCCTTCATGACGATATCTTGGATTATGCGACATTATTTCTCACCGTGTGCCTTTGCTACCGTTGATCTTTACATTCGTCACGATTTTGCTCTCCAGTTCGTGTCTTCTCATCCTGCGGGGGTCTCCGTGGCCAAGTGGTCAAGCTGGGCGACGAAACAAATGGAGCAAAACTGCAACGGCCACCGTCCGGCAGAAGTAAAAAATCTACCTCCGCTCTAAACAGTGCCCCTGCCTAGCGTCCATTTTGACCGAAATACTACGACATTGCAATAGTAGTGAATCTAGCAGTATAAACGCGCAAATTAAGAAGCGTTTTTGAGGCAACAGAGATGTCTTGAGTGAAATTGTGAGATTGCCTTGCGCTGTAATTGCAACCAATATTTCTAATACAAATGTGTGACGAGAAAAGCAGAACTATAAAATATCGTTACGATCTGAAAGAACAATGATAAAGAAAAAAGGCACGCGGTGAGAAATTATATAGAAAAGTCTAAGTTAGCGTCATGAAAAACAAAATCACCAACAGAACTGACCCAGTACAGCAAAAACCGAGAAATGTAGCGCGAAATGTAAGCCAACGCCCCATTTGATTTGACAACACACACTTGATGATAATGGGGTAAGAAAACGGTTGGCTTTTCTAAATTTCTTCCTGGAAAGAGGAACTGTTCAAGCTGATTTGACGTTGCCTTTATTGAAAATATTTGTGTTTGCAAGAATGAAGGCGGTATCGTGGGTAAAGTAATTTCAGTTACATTAGGCTCGTCTGCTGCTGGTTTAGCCGAGGCGCGCAGACTACGTCCTGGTAAGCAAGCCGGCGTGTTCCTGTTTCTAGAGCCACGCCAGTGATCACTGATCGCATCACCATTACTAAGCAGTTTTTCTCTGGCCTATATAATATATCTTCTCGCTTCTCTGATCTCATCAGAAATCAAGCCAAACAAGAGTATTTTGGGAATTGAAGTAGGTAAAAAAGCTTCAAGAGCAATAACAATGAAGATCAAGAAGGTAGCAACAAAAGTAAGTATTACATTACATTGCATTTTTGATTTTGTAACTAAATGAAAATGAATGCGACAAAGTCACAAACAAGTTTTTATTTATGAAACCATAACGAACAGCTGGATAGAGTGAGTAACTAAACTAACGCGAGATAATCATTTTTGCCTGATTGATTTTTCGGCGACAATCCCAGCAGATCTTATTCTTATGTCAGAGATTATTTTATAAAAGCTATTGTGATTATGATTACAGATAATTATTTATGCTCTAAAACTAAAATGGTTGTCCTCGAAAATATCCAGGTACATATTAAATATGAATGAATGTCAAAATAAATAATACAATGGGTTCTCCTTGCAATAACGGTCGCTACTTGGACGGCGACGGCCGCTTAGTAGGAGTTCAGTCCCCTGGAGTGGACAAGGACAAGGCACGAATCTATCACAAACCAATTACAAAGTGAGTTCAACATGGCTTCTAGACCACGTGCTGCGACTCACATTAGCGACCGCGTTCTTGCGACTCAAGACAAAGACTTAACGTTACATGTGTTACCCTACCCCTAACCCTAATTATATCATTTGTTTCGTTCCCTCTTTTCCACTCCGTAATTGCACTGCAGCCAGGGGACTGAACTCCGACTAAGCGGCCGTTATTGCAAGGAGAGCCATACAATGGTACCTCAGTGAAGCCTGTGTAATGTGAGGAGTCAATTCTAAGAGATTTTCACATTTCAGTGATAGAGCGTTTAAATAACATAATTTTACATATCAAAACTATATTAACACAATCTTTTATGAATCATATTTTTTTTTTACTTGTGGCGAACATGACTAAATTGAACAATTTGGCTGAATTTTCTGATAAATTAAGCCTGAATAAGTCCTAACACTTGTGTGTTCAAGAAGCAAGGCCCATGTTTTTATTCCTTTTGCTGCCTCCTACTATATTTTGGTTGCTATGATGTAAAAGTCCTTTTCACCATTGTTGGGCACAGATAACCTCCCAGCAATAAATAATTGATGTAAAATTACAGACCGCAGCAAACTATCATAAAAGCTGCGACTGAACAGGCCACATATGTGAGAATGTCTGACAGCATTGACAATCTGCTATGACTGTTTTTAGTTCATGAAGTTTCATAAAGTAACCATCAACTCCTTTACGTTAGCTGTTCAGTCTTTTTGAAGAATAGGTTGCTGATGTTGACAACTTCAAGACATCTCAACAGTTTAATTACATTGCATGTACATATACATTATAGTAATGTTAATACAAGCCATTTCTTTCAGTTGTTTTATTATTTACATTTTCACAGACTGAATTTGAGCAAATAATTGCTAGTGAGAAATACTTAATTTTGGTCGACTTCTTTGCCACGTGGTGTGGCCCCTGCAAAGTCATAGCACCCCAGTTAGAGGTAAGCACGATGTTTTAGGATTGTGCCCTATCCAAGAGTTTTGTTTAGAAATCATTAGTTGAAAATGGGAAAATCTGGCTAAGCTTGTCACTCACATGGAGCCATGCTATAATTCCCCCTTTGTTCTTTACAATCTGTTTGGGTCTCTAATTCTCTCTCTCTCTCTCTTTTTTATTTCAATGTTTTTTTTTATATTGTTATTTGTTTCCCTGTTAGTACCAGAGAAAAAACTGTTCAGCTTTGCTGTCAGCAGCTTCTCTTCTGAGGCCCACAAGTGCCAGTATGACATCTGTACCTGCCGCCTCCAAGTGCCAGTATGACATCTGTACCTGCCGCCTCCAAGTGCCAGTATGACATCTGTACCTGGTGCCTCCAAGTGCCAGTATGACATCTGTACCTGCCGCCTCTCTGAAACATGTGTAATTATTTCCGTAAGTGGCACAGTAGCAACTCTGTCATACCACTTTATACTTCCAATCAACAGGGGCAAAAAGAAACATCTTGACATGCACAATTAATGGTGGCAGTGCAGCACCTAATCCTTCAGGCTCAAGTATCTCCTATCCTAGACTGCCTTAAAATGTGGTAAATATGCCCCTACAATTTGAAAATACTGACTGTGCAAAGACAGGTGTTATGTTGTCAGCTTTGTTATGTTATTTCATCTGACCTAGCTCAAGTGAAATTTAGTGTAATCAAGTGGCAGTATAATATGACATAACATTATATGCTCTGTTGTGGTGCATGTACCCTCAGTGCTAGTACAATTGTGTTAACCAAGAATTGAACCTCACTTAAACAAGGTTCCAACATCTATACATCCCTGTCTTGAATATGTGAGTTCAGTGTATTTCTTTTTCTTTTTCAGAAATGGGCAGAGGAATTTGATGACGTCATTTTTATTAAAGTGGATGTAGATGAAAATGATGTAAGTTATACTAGATCAGATTTGAGGACAGTACCGTTTGTTTTTTATTGAGTCATTACCAGGTAATATATGACATGAATAGCAGTTAACCATATGTGCACTGACAGTCAGTTTCATGAGCGATAACAAAATATATTTTCATTTATTATCGCTCAACTATTGATCTGATTGTATTAATTGCATTACATTTGGTAAACAAGGTTGAGTACAAACATCCACCATTTGATCTGGAGATTTATTTCCTGGCCATGGTGCATTGTCCTCAGTGTCAGTGACAACAATTTTAATAAATGACAACACTATTAAGTCCAGTTGAACACAAATAAATGATTAAAATACATTTTCCCAACATGCCTTTGTCACACTTTAACAGGAAGTAAAATCTTGCCTATCATTATCTCCCCTCTCGGGGAGAGTTGCCATTTGCATTGGTAATTGCTATCTTCTCAGTGGCTGAATTAATCAACCATGACACAGTGGAGAGATAGATAATCATTGGTTTTCAGCATTATGATAAAGGTTTAATGTATTTACTTGTAATTGAGATTTGAATCAGCATCGCTAAGTAGCTCCTGTTCTGGCATGGATAATTTTGCAGTCTCCAACAGCATGTATTTGATCATTATTATAGGTGCAGATCTTTGCCATAATGTTTAAGTGTTGTAGTAATTTTCAAACTTCAGTGTCAGACAGTAGGAAGGAGTGGACCTGTTGCTATTGAAAGAAGCAGAAAGGGCACTAATGGCATGGGAAGCTGTGACTCCTAGAACAAAAAGAGCTTCCTTTAGGACAGTGAAACAGGTGACCATGTCCATAAAAGAGGTTTGCACCAACAAATGATGAGCAGTTTTACATCCAACTTCAAAATACTATAAATAATGAAGGAAAGGCCAATATACAAGTTCAGTTGTGATGGATGGCCTGAATGCTAAGATAGGATCAGATAATAAAGGTTATGAAAAAATTATCAAAACACATGAACTAGGAGGAACGGATAAAAATGGAGAATTATTCGCCAATTTTTGTGCAGGGATAAATCTATTATTGGCAGGAGCATTTTCCCAAATAAAAAAATACAGAAGGCAACATGGGAACCACCAGACCATGATACAGCCAATCCAATTGATCATATATTGTATATAAAAAATTGAGAAAACATGAAAACAGTATAACTAGAATGTCTTTGTACTGGAAACCCAGAGGGGCGTAGAAATAAAGGCAGACCAAAAAACACATGGTTAAGGGAGCTAGAGAGTGAGGTTAGGGGGGGGGGGGGTACATGGGGTGTGCTGCATGCAGTAACGGAGAACAGAACGAGAGCCTAAAAAAACTTAAGCAGAAGTCAAGCAACCTAAACATAATGACTTACTTTCATGTTGAGAAGAAGAATGTCTCATTTAATCTTTTAACACTTCTCAGAACTATTGTCAGTAATATTTTTGTCTAAAATTAATTATGTGATATCACATGAGTTACACAAGTGACCAGTGCTAGAGCACCATGTATTGGTGCTGCATTTATAGAAGCCTCCTTGGATGGCGGGGAATGCCTATGTTCTGCCCCTGGTTTCTCTTAAGGGCTGACCAGCATTGCAGGGCTTCTGATGTAGGCCATTACCTTTGACCTAGGAGACAAAAATGATCACACAACAGTGAGACTGCAGTGTCCCACATAACTAACCAAGAGGGCTAACCCGGTCAGCAAATGCCTGCAGAAGTCACATGAGTCATTCTAATGGGCAAAGTTGCAGTCATGTTGTTAACGGGCACAACACGGTTTCATCTTTGGGTGAATGCAGAAGTAGTTTTTGATATTAATAATATGCTGCTTATGTTATTGGGAAATTTAATAGCCACCTTAGCGCAAGTGTGTGCTGTAATGCGCAAAATCTCTCCAACACCTCTAAAGAGCATCACATTGACTGCTGAAGTCCCATATGATTGATTGGCATTTTTCTGTCTCTCCAGACGATAGTGTTGTACTGCTCTATGAGGAGGCATGGGACTCACAGCCTATGGCGATGGCCAGTGTGACTAGCAAGACCCTCCCGCATTAAGAGAACTTCCATAATTATAGCATGGGATTTCAGGACCATTGTTGTCAACATTTGTGTTTAGTCTGTTTCTTCTCAGCTCAGCTCTCATCCTCTCTGCAGTCATTTCCTCCTTCAATCTCTTTACCTTTCTGTTATGCCCCCTCTACACAACACGGTCCTTGGCATTTACCCCCCAGGACTCCATCGCAATACCTGTATTATTCATGTCCCGCTTGCTCATGTCTTTATGTCGTAGTAGAGGTCAGCCTCAGCATCTTCTGCCTGTCTTTAATTCACCATAAAGGATGTCCTTAGGGACTCTGCCATTCTCCAGGTGTGACTCAGCTGCCTGAGCCTTTGTAGACTGAGCAGTGAGATGACTTTTGTAATACCTGCTCTTTGCAATACCTCAGTGTTTTGTGATTTTGTCCTTCTACTTAATGCCAAGTATTCTTCTTAGACATCACATGGGAAAGCTCTTTTGGCCGTCTCTCCTGGTGCGATAAGTTGACCAAGTTTCACTGTCATAAAGCAGAGTGCTGAGAACACAAGCCTGATAGACAAGAAGTTCCATAAGCCTGATAGACAAGAAGTTCCATATACTTTTTGAATAAAAACGGTGTACCAACATGAAAGTAAGTCATGGTGTAGGTTGCTTGGTTTCTGCTTAATAGTTTTAAACTCGGGTTGGTTGCCATCAGAGCCATGCTAAAACCAGTTACTATAATTGGATTTTCCGGTTTTGCGTTCTTCAGAAATACAATTATAGTTTTGTTTGTTTCAGGAAGCGGCAGAGGCCTATGCCATCCAAGCCATGCCAACATTCCTATTTTTCAAGGGAGGTGTTAAAGTAAGTTATAATTTTCTTTTTTTTTTCAAAATCTGGACATCTTAGTTTTAAGCCTTTTTGATTTGGTATAGAACTTAAATATGATTACATTGAAAGTGATTTTTGTCTGTGTGGAGGTTTTTACAAGTTAGAACAATCATGTTTTTTGTGAAGAATGTAATATTGCAAAATGTAAAACTAGATGTAATGATGAGAGCGAGGCCTTCTGTCGCTGTTGATACCAGGGCATTCTTGTCAGATGACTAGACCATCTCATCTTTTGTTCTTGAATAAAGTATGATTGGTTTCAGGCCTAGTCCTCTTCTAATTTCTTCATTTAACTATTTCTTGTTTACATCAATGACCCGGTGAAAGAGCTCCCTACAGGAATAAAGGCTGCCCTGTATTGAGATGATTTAGCACTCTAGTGTATTGATGCACACATTACAGTGGTAAATCTAAGAATGCAGAGAGCAACAGATTTCTTAATGACATGAGCAGAAAAATGGCATGTTGCAATTAACACAGACGAAACATCGACAGTGCTTTTCTCTTTTCCCCATGGACAAAGCTGCTAGTATTTACCTAGGAATATCCTTGCTAACGGAAGAAAGCTTTCCCACTTATCTTGGAGTGACCTTCAATAAAAGGCTCACGTGGAGCAAACATATAGAAAATCTAGAAGGGAAGGCCAGGAGACAACTAGAGTTACTTAGAAAACTGGTAGGTACAGGTTGGGGAGCGAATGTAAAAACCCTTAAAAAAAAAGTTTATAATGGAGCAATAAGACCCAACAGTTTGGTGCAAGAGCTTCGTCATCAGTAATTAATTCTCATCTACAGTTAGATAGAGTGCCAAATCAAACTGCGAGACTTATTACAGGATCCATAAATAACTGCAGTGTAGACATTGTCCTGTAGACGAGATGCTAAAACTATGATCCAGATGGAAATGTATAATAGTATGCAGTCACATCCAAGAATACAAGATTAGATGATATGGCATTGGGGCATCTCAAAGAAAGCAGCTTTGTCAGTCAGGGAAGAAGTATCAAGCATAGCTATGAGAACAACACCACCGAAACCACTTCTATGCCTAGTACCTTGGCAGCAACACAATACAGATATTGAATTCAGTCAGTGGACTAACAGCTGGCTGAAGATGAGTCCAGCAACCTTCAAAAACGATTAGCTGCTTTTAGTGTGGTCCTGGAAAACTATTTTGACAGTCTTGGGTACATGCTTATACAGATCAGTATGCCCGGCTCTCTAGCGAAGTTGGTTAAACCGGACTTTCGCGGCGGCCGGGTGACGAACTCCTTGTGGTCCGGGTTCATACTCCGGTAACCACCAAACACATTTCTCCCAGATTACGGTACCTATAATGGAATCAATGCCGAAGGGTTGCGATATCCATAGTACCGAGCCAAAGGGTTTACAACTCATGGTTTCTGGATACGTAAAAAAAAAAAAAAAAAATACAGATCAGTAACCAGTGCGGTTAAAGATGGGGGTGCTGGCATCTTTATCACATACCCAGGTAACCACCATACAAAGTATATACTCTCTCTGTTTCAACTACGCAGCAGAGATCCTAGCACTAGAGCAGGCTGCTGAAATGTTACACAACACCAGTTCTGACTGTCACCAAGTGGTGATCTTCACAGACGTGCTATCAGTGCTCTAAACCCTCAAGAGTGGTGACTGCCCTACCTGAAATCTGAACTTAGCAAGGTGGCTGGCCAAAAATGTAGTGTATTCCAGTATTAAGAAAATATTGAAATAAGAGAGGCTGAGGCATTTACTCACTGAAAAAAAAAAATTGCTTCCATGGAAATGGAGAGAATAAGATGTTAAACAAAAGATGGAGGTGTGTGAAGAAAAGTGTGCACATCATGACACATGAGTGAGCATGTTGTTGAATATTTAACCCATCGTATATAGTCTTATTTCTAACTCGTGTTTGTATTTTTACAGTGTGTATTGTTGCTTGCTTCTTAAAATAAATTCACCTTTAGATTCATGTTTGTATTTTCCACACTAAAATGATAAAAAACTCAGATGAAAACTCACATTTTTTATTGGCAGATTGATGAAGTTGTTGGGGCCAACCAAGATAAGATCAGGGAAAAGATTCTAGCTTTGAAATAATGATACTGGCAGGAAACGCTTGTTCTTTTTTTTTTTTTAAATATTAACAATTTAAATTTAAAAAAAAAAACAATAGTTTACAAAGGGTATTTTGAAATAATTGTTTTCCTTGAAAGTAATTAACATGATGACAGTTGCCAGTTTGATCATTGTGCTGATTTGTTGTTCAGAAAAACCACATGGTTGTTTGGCAAACTAGTTTGTGTGTCCAAATTTTCATACCACAAATTGTTACGGGCAGTAGTTCAGCATTTAATTTTTACAATGAAAGTAAGAATTTTGTTCACTTATGGAAATCTGATTTGGCACAATCTGGGATCAGCTTTGAACGTGGGTCACATTTCTGGGGTTCGTAAACCAAGTTCTAGTCTCAAACTCAGTAGAAAGTGTGGGACTATATGTTGCTTCCTTTTAACTTTATCTGCAACACTCTTTTGTATGTTCTAGTGATCTTCCCAGGGTAAACTGGGTATTTGACTTGTGGTCTTTGCCTCGCTTTCTGCAGCCATTGTATGCAGCTTGTCACATTACCATAATAGACGAGTCTTGAAATAAAAAAATTACCAGGAAAATTTTTTTGTTTAGTGCCTGCATACTTTGAAATTGTTGGGTTAAAAAAAATGGGGCTGAACAGACGCACAGCAGTTACAAAGCAGACAGTGCGTTATGAAACCAAAACTGAGGGTAATGCAGAAACAAGGAGCAGCTATCTAAAGACGGCATAACATTATAATAAGTGTTGCCTGTGAATACAAATAGAGAATAGAATCTCATTTTTTTTAAAGCAAGATATACTTTATTTTAGGTCAGCTACCTGGAAACGAATGGCAGTGATTACATTAGTTTACTAAAGACAAGCATTAAAAAGTGATGCATTTTGTTGATTAATCAAGTATATGTATAAAGACTGATTGTGTGCATGGACAGAAGAGTTCACAGTAAGAAAAACTTGCCTAAAGGAAAATCAGGACAAGGGGAAAAAAATAGTGGACCAGGAACAGGTCTAATATTTTAACTCATCTGAAAAGTTACATTTGTTGGTTAACAGATAGTGCTTTGAATCTGTAAACTTGTCGCCCATTTATTGTAGCAATCACTAACATTTTTGGGTGAACATGCCCACGTAACTGATTGAGAGATTAAAAACAGACAAGATACAAAATATGCAAACAAGCTTGTATGTTTGTGCAACAGGAACACATGTACTTCATGAAATGCGCTTGCATCACTTTTTGGGATGAGGTGACCAAATTTTTCAATGGTATATATAAATATATAGTTACAAGATTCTGTGTAGAGTTATAAGATTCTGTGTAGAGTTATAAATATCTGTGTAGTTAGATTAGTTCTTGCCTAGGAAAGCTAGTTGTAATAGACATTTGAAATATGATGCTGTTATTGACATGAAATAACTTTGTATCTGTCAGCCACACTTTCTCCATTTCAATTTACAAATGTCAAATATCTGGCAAAACAGCTGTCTGCTAATTTCAAATTGCTCACAATTTATTAACATTAATTGTGGTGACAGAAACCAACCAATTCTGACATGAGTTGGTTTCACTTGGATATCATTTGTGTTTATCAAAACACACTTTCAAGTCTGAAAAATAACTTTAAAAAAATTGTTTTCTTATAAAGATTATCGCTTAGTTTATAAAGGCTAGGCTAACCCAACACTTGACACAGAGTGCTTAAAACAGATTCACATTTTCAGTTTTCATTTATCGTAAAAATTGATTTCTGACAATAAATGTTGCTTCTCACAAATCATCACATCTACTTGTTTTTTTTTTTAAGCTATGTGTTTTTTCCTGTTAAATATTGGGGGGGGGGGGGGGTGAAAAAGTCTTAATGAAAGTAATTGGGAGAGGCAAACACTGCACTCCTGATGTCACTTGAAATGTTTTGGCACAGGGCATTCACAGAATGGGAGTGGTGTCAGTTACACTTTTTCTGCAGGTACTAAATATACAACTGGTCAGAGGTCAAGGGCCACCTTTTTTATTTTCAGTAAACTTTTATATAAGCACTTACAATGATTAAGTGAACAAAGATTTTAGTACAAATGGGTGCAATCTATTCCTATGACAGTCCTCTATGCCTGTGAAGCATAAAGACAAATCGCCAACAATCAAGTGATCACATGCAATTTGGTTTGATGACCATAATTTCATTTTTTTTTCTTCATCAAATTTGCATAAAACCAAACAGGCAAAGTAAAATAATGTTAATTCACATTCAAAATTTTAGGGTTGTTTCATCACATGCAAAAAATCATGCCATCTAGGAAAAAAAGTCTTGACACCACAAAGAATGAGGACTGTTGCATGGGTTAAAAGTGTTTTATCTACCGGCAAAGTTGCTAAACGATTTGTAGTGTCACACCTTACCATCCAAAGAATTTAGGAGAGATTTCAGCCACAGGAAGTGTGGAGGATCGCCACCAGCCAGGTCTCCTTAGATGCACCAATGGACATGACTGGTACCTTTTGTTGTCCTGCGCCATCAAACAGTGATTTGTTCCACTCTAAGATGTCAGTTGAGACAAAGTATAAGCATCAGTCGAAGCACAAGTCACAGAGGTTTACATAAATTTGGATCGGTTACTAAACGTCCTGTGGTCAGAATCGCTCTAACTCCTGTTTATCACAGAGCCTATGTTGCTTGGTGTCGCGAGCACATCTCATGGACAAAGTAACAGTGGAGTCTGGGCCTCTTCACGCTCTGCTGTGCCATTCAATGGTGGCAGGATTCGAGTTTGGAAATGACCAGGAGAGCAATTTACCAATGACACCATCCAAGAAGTGGGTTGTTATTAGGGCTGTACCGAATGATGATTTTCACTATTTGGCCGAATACGAATAGTGGGACCAACTATTCGGCAAAATACGAATAATGTATCATCATCATCAGGTGCCTTGCCGACTGGCATGGGCCATTATGCCTTGCATGTCTCAGTTTGTGTGCCCACACACCTCCATGCCATGCAGCAAGACTGTCAAGAATCTTCTATCATGTCTTCCTTTATCCCTCCTTACACAGATCTTTCCAGTGGACACCACATGTTACATTTTCCCTCTTCTTATAACATGGCCGAAAAATGATGACTGTCTCCTTCTGATATCTGTGATTAGTTGTCTTCAGGCTCCCGCCTCTTTTAAAACCCATATTCGTTCGATTTAATTTAATATTCTCGTTAGAAATATCTTCAAATCTCATTTGGGCAAAGACATCCTGAAAGAAAGAAAATGCATGATCTCTCTCTTTCTCTCACACATACACACACACTGGCATTTTATGTAGTTTGATACACTATGAGTGAAAAAAAGGAAAAAAAAAACACTTTTTGACTGTTACGAGGACAGACAATTTAAATTTCAACTGTTAAGTATCTTCATGCCTTCTTTAATAATGTCACCATTTGAATCCTAATTTTCTTGATTTTCGCCGCCGCACCCCTGGCATTCGCACCCATTTGAGAACCGCTGCAGTAATGCCTTGGTCGAGTCAGCAGGCAAAGATCCTGCCAGCTGCTGTTCCATGCAACCGGGTCGCAGTTTCCCCTGCTACAACAGACTTGGGCAACAGCAACTATTGTGTTAATGAGAGAGTTATTTCAGTCCATCGCAGTGTGTGCAGAAAGAGGTGTAAGGTAACCACTATTCGTATTCGGTTCGACCGTAAGCATTTGGCTGAATACCAAATAGTTATTAGGTCCACTATTCGGCCCCGAAACGAATACAAAGCAAGTATTCAGTACAGTCCTAGTTGTTATGAAGTGGTTTTGTTATGGTGTGGAAAGGCTTCTAGACACGGCAGAACCTAACTCTGTATCATCCAAGACAACATGACTGACCCAGGATACAAGGATGAAACCTTGAGACCAATTGTTCAGCCTGCTCTGGAGGCCATCCTCCAAGATAACGCTTGACCTCATCAAGCTTGGGCGGTGAATGACTTTATTCAGCAACAAGGGATCATCAGGATGGTGGGGGCCAGCTCATTCACCTGACCTTTCTCCAACTGAGCACCTCTGGGATGTCCTTAGTGGAAGATTGTCAACAGATCACCCTCTGCCAATGGATGTTGCACAGCTGACTACATTTACTTCTGACCCTTTTTTGGTTCTATGCATCTATGCTCTCTTGAATGCCTTGCTACACGTGGTGGTCATACCGATTTTGAAATGTCTAGTTGTCTATTATCTGTTATCTGACTTTTGAAAAGGGGGGGGGGGGGGGGGGGGAGGCACACTTCACAGCTTGGTTCTGTTTGAATGCGTGTATCAATTTCTTTATGTGACCCGTCACTTTAGTATTCAATAAATGCCATTTTCACTGATATTACTTACGTTTTTAACAGATTTTTTTTTTTGGGGGGGGGGGGGGGGGGGGGGGGGGGTGGTTTCCAAGCAGTTTTTCTAAGTGGTCCTTGACTTTTAATAAGTAGAATAAACATCTGATGCAGTAAAGCAAATCCTTTTGGGACAACTGCACACACATCTAACACAAAGACGGTTCCCAATTAGCACCAAGAAATATGCAAAATTTCTTTTTCTTCACATTTCAAAGCTGTAAACTCAAGTGGGAAGTTTCGGTTGTTCATCTACTTCTGGATTTGAGTCTTGTTCCAGAACCTCAGTGTTGCATGCGCATCCATTTTACAGACCTGGTTCAGCTGTATGCAGAAAAGTTGGTTCCTCCCCTCCACTACAACTTTGAAAAAAAAACATCCCTAGTAAAGCGGACTCTTGCAACATTCTTGTTAAGGTGTACTATTCTTTTTTCCTCCCTCGCCATAATTGGGCCCTGATACCCATACGGGGAGAAACGCATAATCTACTGCACCATTTGCTAGCAGTGCCAGACATGGTCACAACAAACCAGAAAATAAAATTAATAGTTGCCACAGAAATGGGAGAAAGGATGCAGAAGAGACTAATTAAGGAAGTTATAAGTCAGATGAGAACAAACAGTAAATTACGTACAAATACAATT